ATTGGAATTGATAGAGAGCTTCAGAGATCTAAATCTAAGCTTTGAAATTTCACCAGTTAGTATCAGTTATGGGGTGATGACTATCACCAGTGACTTCTTGGAAATCATTAAAGAAGGCCAGATGAAGGATCCTAGCCTTATACAAATTAGAAACTCTTTGGGTACAGAAAAAGTGAAGGAGTTTGTTTTGGGAACAGATAGTGTGCTTAGGTTCAAGGACAGAGTCTGTGTTCCTGTAGGTGATGAGTTGAGAGGAACAATTTTAGAGGAAGGGCACAAAAGCAAGTTGAGTATACACCCTGGAGTGACTAAGATGTACCAAAATTTGAAGGAGACTTTCTGGTGGCCTGGGATGAAGCAGGATATAGCTTGGTATGTTACTAGCTGTTTAACATGTCAGAAGGCCAAGGTAGAGCATCAGAGACGGGATGGAATGCTACAACCACTAGAGTTACCTGAGTGGAAGTGGGACAGCATATCTATGGATTTTATTACCCACCTGCCCAGGACGGTTAGAGGACATGTCTCCATCTGGGTCATTGTAGACAGATTGACTAAGTGTGTCCACTTCCTGCCGGTCAATCTAAGAATGTCTATGGACAAATTGGCTCAGTTGTACATCAAGGAAGTAGTGAGGTTACACGAGGTACCCTCCATTATTGTGTCAGACAGAGACACAAGGTTCACCTCACGATTTTGGCAGACCTTACAAGCAGCATTAGGAACCAGACTGATGCTTAGTACCGCCTACCATCCCCAGACAGACGGACAGTCTGAGGGAACCATCCAAACCCTAGAAGATATGTTGAGGGCTTGTGTGTTGGATCATATGGGGGCTTGGGACGAAGTACTTCCCTTAGCAGAATTCACATACAATAACAATTTCCATACCAGTATTGGAATGGCACCCTTTGAGGTTTTATACGGGAGGAAGTGTAGGACCCCCTTGTGTTGGTATCAGGATGGTGAGAAATTCCTGGTTGGGCCAAAGTTAGTACAACAGACTACAGACAAAGTGAGGTTAATACAGAGCAGAATGAAGATTGTACAGAGCCGTCAAAAGCCTTATGCGGATAGGAGGAGGAGACCCTTTGAGTTCTCAACTGGTGATCATGTTTTTCTCAGAGTCGTACCTATGACTGGAGTTGGGAGAGTCATAAAACCCAAGAAGCTAACCCCGAAATTTATTGGACCCTACCAGATTACCAGGCGTATTGGACCAGTAGCTTATGAGATTGCCCTCCCCCCTCCCTTGGCAAGGCTGCACCCTGTATTCCACGTATTTCAATTGAGGAAATATGTGTCTGACCCGAGCCACATTTTGGAAGCTGATGAAATTCAAGTGAGAGAAGATCTGTCTTTTGAAGTCACTCCAGTGAGAGTAGAGGACTCATAACTCAGGAAGTATAAAGGTAAAACCATCAGAGTGGTCAAGGTAGTCTGGAATACCAAGCTGAGTGACTGCACATGGGAACTAGAGGAAAAGATGCGGAAGAACTATCTGCAACTGTTTACCTGGTAAGTATGATTTTCGAGGATGAAAATTTTAAATTGTTGGGAAGTATTGTAATATGTTGTAATCAAAAGAAAAGTAAAAAGAAGAAGAGAGAGAAAATATGGTTTTCTTCTTCTTTGTACAAACAAATCCCCCATCTCCATAACTCAGCTCTACCTTCTCTCCTACAGATCAAGACTTTCTTCTTCCCTGATCAAGAATCTGAGACCGCCATTGTGCTCACGGCGGAGAACAGCAGAAGACCCACCGATTAGAATTTTGTTTCGGTAAGTTTGAATTTTAGGGCTTTTGCTAGTTAAAACTTGGGGTTTTGAGAATTTAAGGAATTAATTGTGGAATTAAAGGTTTTCTCTTACTCTGTCACTCCCCAATTTCATGTTTTCGGGTTTAATTATGTTTATTACTTCAATTTCGTTTTTATGGTTTTCCAAATTGGGGGAGAACGGTACCTCTTAGGTGTTTTGGCATTCCTAAGGTTTTATTGAAATTAGGTTGACGTGTAACATTACCCTCAGGTAAGGGAGGCTTCTTTAATTTTTACTGGTTGTATTGTATTGATGAAAAGTTTAATAAAGTGAATGATGAGTATGTTTGTGATATATATACGTGTTATATGTGATATGAGAGTATGTTTGTAATATATATACGTGCTATATGTGATATGAGAGTATGCTTGTGATATATATACGTGTTATATGTGATATGAGAGTATGATTGTGATATATATACGTGCTATATGTGATATGAGAATATGCTTGTGACATATATACTTGTTATATGTGATATGAGAGTATGCTTGTGATATATATACATGATATATGTATATGAGAGTATGCTTGAAATATATATACGTGCTATATGTGATATGATATTGTGAGCACTGTGGAAACCTTGCAGTGTAAATTGTTTTGAAATAGATACCTTTGTATCATTGAATTTCTAAATTGTATGGTTGGTTTGTGTGGTTTGAAGGAGAAAGGATGTACCGTTTTAAGTGAATTATGATTGCATAGTAGTTGAGAATTTTAAATGTTGGACTGGACATTTTGAACTGCATGATGTTGGTTTGATTCTAGAAACCCTGAGTAGAATAGTGTGTATGAAATAGTTGTTGAATGATAGATTTGATGTACTGTGTAGAATAATGTGTATGGAATTATGGATAGGCGTAATAGGGTATCCAGACTTCCAAGATGTTCCTAGTCATATAGACGAAGACATCTGTGGTGGGAAGTCGATGGAGACACAGCATAGTGTCAATCCTATGCATGTGTTGCTCTGATGAGAGGTTGAAAAAAAAATGATATTATAGGCCTGGGGCCATGAAATTTTAAGGGTCTGGAACCCCAAATATTCCTCATCAGGTGTCTACCTCACTAGTCTGAATTCCATATAGTTTTCCAAAAAGCGTCAGTCTTGTTGTGTGTTGTGATTGTAAAATGCTAGACTCTCCGGTAAGTCTAGTTTTAGGATGTTTGTGAATGAATGAGTGTTGTTTACAATGTTACACTGTTCTACATATTTAATCAAATGGTAGTTTACCCTTGCTTTTGATGCGTGCTTGATCTTTTGGGATCCTGCTATGATCGTGTTATACATGTGAGCAGATTCCAAATCTTCTACAGGTGGTAGTAAGACCCAGTGATTTGAGAAATGGAGTAGAGACCTCCTAAATTTGAAGGAGTTATTTTGTGTTGTGTAATTAGGTGTAAAATATTCGTGTAATTAAGACTTTTGATGTGTGATGTTTTCTTTTCTTTTTTCTTTTCAACTATTCTGGATATGTAAATTGAACTATTATACCTCTCTTAAGTGAAAAAGTTATTTTATATTAATAAATTAACAATAATAATAATAATAATAAATTATTTTTTATTTTTTATTTTCTGATTAAATAATCTCTTCTCTTATAATTTATATATTAAATTATTATATTTAGAATATAAATTAATGTTATTAATACAATTTTAATTTTTTAAATATATTTAAACTTTTATTTAAATATTTTTAATTAATTATTTTTAATAGTTTTTTATTTTGTTAGTCAGACTAAAATTGACTAATTAATCTATTAGTCTAACATAAAATGTTATAACTGTTAAAGTTATAACTTATTTAAAAATATAAATCAAAGTTACATCATCAATTTTTTTTCACTTCCAAGTTAGGCTAAACATGACAGTTCTACGTGAAATTATTTACACATGATTTGGCACCTATGCTCACACATCAACCCAAGAAATATACATGTACTAAACATGTTTTTTATTTTTTAGTTTTTAAAAATTATTTTGTTAAAACAAGTTTTAAAATTTATTTTTATTTTTTTAATTATTAAAAACTAAAATCTAAATTTGTTAAAGATATATTTTTAAATTTTTATTTTAATTAATAAATATTAATGTTTTTCACTTATATTTAAATTATTTATTTTTATCATCATAAAATTATTAATTCTTTAATTTCTATTTTAACTTCTATAATTATTTATATTATTTATTGTTTAAATAATTTTAAAAATAAAGTTATTAAATAATTTTTTCAATTTATATGTAAAAATAATATTTTAAAGTTAAATTCTAAAATTATTTTGAAAAACTAAAACAGATAAATCCTCAGATCTATTATTATTAAATACATTGTATATGTAGAATTAAAGAAATCTCTACTTTGATTTCTTTGTTACGTTTAGAAATATTACATTTAGAAATGAGAATATTTGGAATAAGGTTACTTTTTTTTTCATGTCCAATCTATTATTATTCGTTTTAAAACTGTTCTCAGTTTTATAAGACTCGTTAGTTTTATACATTAAGCAAAATTAAAATAGCTTTCCTCTTACTACCACCAATCATGGAAGACGGTCCAAGGTATTTTTCAATGACTCCACCTAAAGAAGACTTCAAATTTATTGAGATTGATTGCTTCCCCAAATGCAAATTAATTATATAATGGGTAGATAGATATTATTAATACATATAACAATTGGTGGAACTAGTATAGTATGTATTATATAATTGATTATTAATTAATATTTGTTATTTTTAATCACAATGGATATTCATGCCGTCAAATCATTTACATCGAGCATCCAAATAAAATTATATATAGAGAGAGTAAAATAAAGAAGGACAAACTTATCAAACTACAAGATAACATTACAGCAACAAATCACGGTTCACACGGTGAAGGAGGTTACAAGACCATGGCTAAACCTTGATAAGAAGACAAGCAAATATATTTGACATTCTCGTGTACATAATTTTAGAAGTTTAAACTTCAACTAAACCCCAAAAATTAATTCATGAGGAAGATTTTCCAATCTCCATTGTATATACAATTGTTTAACTCGCATCACTAGTCAACACATATTGACCTGTACATGGTTTCTTCAAACTATATAACCATAGAATTATTGCCTAAAGACTAAAGAATTGACCCATTCATTAAACATGGAAAGGTAAATTAATGAGTAGAACAGAACTTAAGCAGTTTTGTGAGCAGACATATACATATCCTCGACCATTTTGGGGTTTGAAATAGCTTTTTTTACAGGAACTTGAGCAACCGTTCTTGTATCTTGAGACTGATTTTGATGTTTTGCGTTTGAGTTGGATCTTCCTTTCCTGTGCTTCCTCCTAGTCTGTGTGGATTGAGGGATAAACACCCCTGTCCCTTTGCTTTGTCTTCGCAAAGCCTGCTCATAGAGAATAGCAGACTGTGGAGGAGGATGGAATGATGCAGAAAACGTCTGAAATAAGAAAAAGTTAAGTTGAAGTGAGGTTTTTCTCAATAAACAAGTATAAAAGAAGAGAAAGAGAAGGCAAAACGAACTAATACAATGGATAAAATCAACTTTTAAAAGTTAATCAGTTAACACCATAATGAATAAAGTTACAATGTAAAAAATAAGTTCAGCACATAAGTTCGTAATATAGTTTACCCTTCTTTATTTTTAAGTGTCTGTGAATAAATTTATCTAAGAAAAACACTGAAGAGAAAAAAACCTGGTGTTGAGGACAACAAGCAAGGGGGTCTTCATCCTCATCCATAATTAGGAGAGAAATTTGCTTGCTCAAGTCAGCAAAAAACAGGTCATCTTCTAGTTCAACAGCAACCTCCATAAGAATGAAGGCAATTTGGTATCAAGAGTTTGATGGTCCTTCCCTGAACTTTGATGTGTCTGATATGATATTGTGTTGCCCCAAAAGTAGGGGTGGGGGGGTTAATAAATAGAGAGGGGAAAAGGGTAATGAAGGATGGATGGGAAGGGCATGTGGGTTGGTGGGCCATGGGCAGAGTTGGCCAATCTGGCTGAGGCCCACAAAGCAGCCCACTAGAATGATGGAAGTGTGTTGTGGATATCATCCAGTTGATCTCAGAGGAGATGAGGAACAGCAGGAAACAACTGTTGTGCAGATATCTAATCCATGATATGTAGATGAATCATCCCAAAGAAACATACACTTGGTTGTGAATGGTCCACCCTCATATCCTAAAAACTAAGTTATGGCTCGTCATATTCATGGCTCAGTAAACAAATAATTTTTGTCCCAAACAGATTCTTATCTGCTTTGTATGTTCTAGCAGTTGCTCATGGTCAAGATTAAACCACCGAGACAGATCCTACATGTAACCGCCACTGAATCTTCATCTTCCACAACTTGCAATTGGACCCAAATACCATCAAAAGTGTATTTGATACTTTTTTATTTTATTTTATTTTTTCTTAATGGGTAATATGATTCATCGATTATATAAGCGTCACATTCGCAAGTCGCACCATGTAATAAAGAAGGCCAAAAACAGGTCAATTAGTTGGGACAGTTGCCCTTCATCCTACGCCAATTAGCATACATAAATACCAACCCAATCTTAATCTTTTACCTGTTTGTAAAACTAAAATAAATAAATAAATAAAATAAAATAAATTTATTCCATCTAACTCGTTTCAAACTTATTTTATAAGTGAGTTTTTTTAATATAATTTAACGAAATTTAATATTAATCCATCCAACCATACATAAGTTGTGTCATGGTTAAATTATTTTATAAATGAGTTATTTAGCAGAGGTTATAGAAAACGAATAATTGAGTGGCTTAATCCAACTTCCTCTTAAACTGATCAATCAAGTCAACCTAAACCCTGAAAGAAGAAGCAATATTCTTTGCTCCATGTGAGTGTTGTTTACACAATAACAGCTATAGTTTTCTGTAGTTTTCTTTTTCGCCTATCATAGCTTTAAATTGCATCTAAAGTTGCGTTCCCATTATAGAAACTTTTAATGATTGAAAAATCAAAACACTCGTAATTATTGCTCGGTATTATATTTATGTCAATTTAACTTCTTAGTCTCTGTAACTTTGTTAGACAGGTTTTTATTATTATTTTAAGCTTTTAATTAGGGGCCCGTATGTACAAATATTTTTTCATCAAATAATCTCGCCTTTATAAAAAAGGTAATCACTTTTTTGGTTCGTCACAGTTTTTTTTTTAATAATTAGAAGGTGAAAATGATTAACAAAACTGATTATGAGTATTTTGTTCTCATTGAGAACGAATATATTAACTGATTTCTGTTTATTTCTTCAATTTCTAACAAATTAATCACTAAATTATTTAATATCATCAGAAACACTTTTCTTTTATTATAAAAAAATTATCCTAAACACTTCTATTCACATAAATAGTTGGACACTTCAGTCAGTCCTTTAATAAAATTTAAGATTTATTATCTAACTTTAGAATAAAGTGATGACTAAAAGTATCGTTTTTCTCAAAATGAATGACATGGGCTTAACTACTATGATTTATGGAAGAGAATTAAGTGGAAGTTAAATAAAAATCTCATGAGCCATTTGTTAAGACAAAAGATGTGTTTTTTTTTTTTAATTTCCTTTTTTATCTTTTCTTGTTAAAATAATTGTTTTTTAAAAGCTTTTGTAATAATGATGTTTTTCCTGGCTTCATGGAGAAAAAAAAAAGTGTAAAAGGAAAATAGACTAAACACTACCTCAATTATATCCTCTTCTTTGGACAACTTCACCCAAGTACACGAGTGCAACCAACCATGGAATTAGTGAGTTTGATGAAGCCACGGTTGATGAAATTGTGACTGTGACTTTGCATGGGAGTAATATTTTATTTTCAACTTTCATGAATTAGTGATAGTGACACTCCACTTCACTAATTTGTTTGCATGGGATCACTGGGAAGTGCTAAGACTTGTTTTGAATTGAATAAGCTCTTAGACAGTCTCCAATGAAATCCAAACTAGACAACTGCAATTAAAGTTCTCAATTTTTAGATAGAGAAATGCAAGTGTAATAATACCTTTTATATATTTAAATAATATATATACATGTAGATATATATGGGATGAGCTGAGTAAATAAATTAAAATGGTTTGTTGTGTTATTTTTTAATTAAACTACGATATATGATTAAAGAGTATTATGTTGATTACTAGTTTTATCTGTTACATTTAAAACTATATATATATATATATATATATATATATATATATATATATATATATATATATATATAAATGAATGTTCAGGTTATTGATTATGTACTGGATTTTTTGTATTAATATAAAATAAAAATAGTAAATATATAATATAAAATGGTAGAACATTATATTTAAGAAACTGAAAATAGAAAAATTAAATTATGATCAATGTAACATCTTATACATTAGTTTACTCCAATATGATAAAGGATGTGTTTGAAATTTTTTTAATTTTATTTTAATCTATAAATTTTCATGTTCTTTGTGCAAACTGAAACAAATAGAATAAATGATAGTCATAGAGATTATAATTGAATCATAGACAAATAAGAATAATTAAATTTTAAAAACTAATATATTTTCAAAAAAAGTATTAAAATCATAATACTATTCATTTTGTATAAACATGTATACATGCTTTTATTAACTTAATCATCGTTATATAAACATTTATACATGCACTTCACAGAATTATGCATAAATTCAGATATAATACTACACTCAATGTTAATATTCATAAATTGAGAAAAGCTAGTAATTTACTTTCAAACATACTCCTTGAATACACTTCAACTACTGAAATTTATTGTTGATCACTATTTTGTGGATCTCTTTAAACAAATTTCACTCGCGATTTGGTGATATTCCATAAATTTTAACCAATAATATAAAGTGCAGCTAGCACTCCTCTTCACAAATTATACAATGGACTGTTGACATCAATGTCTTTCACGAAATCTACAATCACTATCAACTAATTGAATTTCTAGCTAAATAATCTGACACTAAAACAATTGATATGTAATAATTAGCAATTGGTATTAAAATATATCTGAAGTTAGACTGTCGGCTAAATTACAAAGCTACTAGTTTATGGTTTACATTTAGCACATTTTTTTCCCGTCTCTAAGCTGAGACATTCTAAATTCTAATGCAGGCACTATTCAATCCAAGTCTTAAATTGACTCCTTCACTTCAATTCACTAAATATTAATAATAACTAAATACCAGAATGTTTAAAGTTCTCAACCGTTCATTATCAAATTATACTTGTGAGCACAGTTCTCTACCACAAAATAAATCTACAGTTCATCACCATCAAGATATTTTAAGGCCAACTTAAGAATTTCAGAGATAAAATACGGGCACTTGGAATCATTAAAGCAACTTAATTTCATCATATATCATCTAACTGTGCATAAGAGAAAATTTGCCAAAATTCGTCACGGGGTGGGGCAACCAATCCACTGCGGCAAGTGTTATTGACTGGCTTTTCTATGAATAACTTTGACAGGGTAGAAACTGTAAAACCTTACCTGACCAATAATGGAAACAAGCGAAGATATCTGACATTAGTTATGCTCAAAGCCTAAAAACTTTAAACCAAAACACATGCTAGGATGGCGCAAGTTATGCTCCTCCAGCTGTATCCATATCCGCAACCCCATCAACTCCCTTGAAAATAACACGTAATTTTCTCAAACAAGAGAACTTTTGGTCGTTCTTGATTGTTGTACCATTCACATGCACAACATCCTTGGGCAGTTTACCCATGAGGTTAAAAAGAGATAGGCTCAAGTTTGATCTAGTCATTTCTTCCAATACAGGGGGGGCTTGCATGTACAGATTCTTTCCTCGATGTGTAATACTAGCTTTTGATAATTGCAACTTAGGATGTTCTTCCAAAAGACCCATGAACTGTTAACCACAAAATGATTAGAAAACGCATCAGAAAGAAATGTACTAAAGTTGAATTAAGATATGAGTTGCTTAAAAGGAAAACAACTAAGTAGTTCACTTGTTGAAAAGTACGCCATATCATAAGCTTTTAACGGTACTAATTTTACTGATTTGGAGCCGAGATGAAAAACATTTAATAGGTGGAAAAAACATTATTTTACCTTTCATAATGAATGTGTATTTCATGAAATAAACAAGGCCAGTCCTGCCAGCAAAAGGAAAGACTTTCCAAATATTAATGCTTCCTAAAGCCTACTACCTATTCAACATTCTCACAACTTATTGTCTAGTCATCTATTAAAAATTGAAACCGTCTAACTCAAACCTATAAAACCATCAGATTTTAAGATGAGGTTTGTACCTCAACTGTATATTATAAGTTGGTCATATCACTAGTTGATATAAGATCTCCAAAATAACTCTCATGCCGAGAAATGAACATCTTGAAAGCATGGAACTGAATATTAAGCGGTAATCCGATAGTAGCCCGATAACGGATAAAGTAATAGGCCAACAAATATCGTTAAAATAGGTTCTAATACCATATTAAAAATGAAGAGGTGTTTAATGGTCTAAAATGATAACTTATCTTAATAATTAGATTACCAAAAGATGAATGGTAAGAATGAAGAGTACGATTCTAACTCCTATTCTTAGGGTAAGGGAATTCCCTCTTTTATATATAGATTAAATATAATAGATGGTTAAGATTAAATACTTAAAAATCCAAATTAAAATCTCTCACATCCATCAAATCTCTACATATTCACCCAACTAAATTCAAATCAAATATATGAAAGATTCATGACCATAACCACTACGTCACATCACCATGACTATTATAGCCACCACCAAGATGATTGTCGTTGTCAATACCATGATCTTTTTCACCACCATGGATATCATCGTGGAAGCAACTATAATAATCATGAAAATTTAATTTAAATTCTTAAGTATTTTAATCTTAACCTTTTATTATTTTTAATTTTAATATGATGACTGTTGGTTGTTGTAGTCATTCTCACATAAGCAAATGTTTTCGCTAGAGACATCCCCCCCCACCACAACATATATAGGGTTGGGATTTACTCCAAGTGTAAGTCACATGTTGCATCATTTAGTATTTCCCTAAAACTTGAGTAGATTGATCTGAACCATCAGATTTGATAAAATAAACAGTTCGGATTAAACATGGTGTAAATTTAAAGACTTACACATGGTGTAAACAGATCCTAACTCTCTCTCTCTCTCTCTCTCTCACACACACACACATATATATATAAAGAGCTTGAGGAGTTGATAATTGAAAAATAACCTTTTGCAATGTGATTGAAGTGTCCAGTTCAATAAGTATACCAGGACCACACACAAGACAGTCCTTGTCCCTTTCAAATTCTGCCACTTCCGTATGGAGGCCTTCTGATCCATTATACCTAGAGAGTTATTAACCAATCAATAATATTTACAGCCAGGAGGCAAACATTGATAAGAAAACAGCCATACGTTAAATAGTTCGACAAAGTTTTGCTGCACTCTGTTGCAATCTTTAATGTTTCCAGTGCACATGCGGCGGATATAATAGCATTTGTTGAAGCTATAGCTGGTATGATGTTCTTGACAACACCCTAATAAAATAATTAATTCTTGGTGAAAATGGAAATTACGGATGACTATCATCAAGGAAAACACAAAAAACAAGATAGACATCAAGCAATTCATTAGAGAAAACCAAAGAACAAAACTATACACACCTCAAAATCTCAGAATTTGCTATGGATTAACTATTAACCTTAATCATCTATATACCTGTGTAAGAGAATAAGTAACTCCAGGAATGCCAAAAAGCTCAGCCCTCTTGACAGCCTGTAAAACATAAATAGTTAAACTTGGAACTGATTGATGGGCCAAAATTGTCCATTAATCTGTCAAGAAACTCACTATGAAATAGTTGTTACCTCGTCATAAACCCATTTCATATGCTCAGGGTTATCTGGATCAAAAGCCACTCCACCATGAACCTATACATTAAATTCTGGTAAAATAATGGACAACAGAAAATAACAGAAAGAATGAACAATGATTTACCTCATTCCACTTAATCAAGTGAGCATACTCAATACAATGGGCAGCAGTTCTAGGGGTTTCAGCCAGGGTGCACAAAGGAAACTTTACTTGCGGTGGAAAAAGCCAGATTGTACACTCAAAGCAAGGTGTGATCCCTGGCATGATAACCCTAGCATGGCCCTTGAAACCTTCAGTCCCACCATCCACCATAGGTTTGATAGTCTCTTCTCGTGGATTATCATCAGAATCATACTCTAACATTATCAGCAAAAAGAAAAGAAACTAAATATTAGCATAAGCACACTGCAGAAAACCTCTGGGACTGAGTGTTTTACATACATATGGTCAGATAGTGCAAAAAGAAAAACAATTGCTTGAAAACAATTCAATAATAAAACAACAAAGGAGGTTATTTAAAACCGAAGTTTTAAAAGATGGTCTATGACCACATTTTTGCCACAACATTAAAGTTTATTGGGTGTTGGTCACCACAATGCAACCACAATTGTGGTCATTTGTCCTTAATTTCCAGTAATATTAAGGAACACTACTGCGACCATAATTAAAAAGGCAAACCACAAGCAACACACCTAGAAAACTACAGGCAACAGTGTTGATATAGCTGCGTGCCTCAATGGAATCAAGACCAAGGGCAATAATGCTAAAGTCGTTGTAAAATTCAATCTCCTTGTCCTCAATCCTGCAAAAATGCGGCACAATTTGCACGCCACTGATTCTCTCCATGACCCGCTTGGCAGCTACCTCAGCTTTCGGTTTGCCAACATCTTCAAGTCTACAAGCAAACAAGCGAACAAAAGAAACTGTAGAAATGAAATACCGAACCAAAAGTAATGAGACTATTAGACAAGTAAAAGGTGATGATGAAAAACAAATGCGTGAAGTTAACCTGAACAAAAATTGACGGTTGAGATTAGTAACCTCTATGCGATCCATATCAATGACCTCAAGGTTTCGGAATCCAGTGAGGGCTAAATCCTTCAACAATTCGCAACCCAAACCTCCTGCCCCTACCACCAACACTTTGGCGAAGGTCTGAAGGTCATCTCGCAACTGCAACAGATAAAATATAAGGGAACAAAAACAAAACCCTACAGAGAGATATAGAGAGAGAGATATGAATAGGAACAGTAAGAGTAATAGTACCTCGGTGCCAGGTTCGAACCTGGGACCGACGAGATTGCCAGGGCGGAGAAGAAGTTTGTCCAGGTCTCTGGATCGACTCGAGGAATCCGCCATTGGAGCTGAAGATGCTTCACTCGCTGCCTTCTACGCTCTCTTCACCGGCACTAGTCCCTTGGATTTCCCCTCTACTAATTGCCCAGTTTTTCCTTTTACCCTTTCTTCAGCTTTAATTTTAAGCTAGTACTAGTTTGAATGGATACATTGAATGCTTATGTTGGTCACATAAAACTATTTTTATTTTTTTAAAATTTAATTCATATTTGCATTTGATTTAAAATTAACATGTGTGATTGTAATATCATGAATTAAGGAAAAATAATTTATTTTACACCACTTCTTACCAAGCTCTAGTATAAATGTTTTTATACCCCATAATCATAATTCTAGAAAACTTGACATGCATGAATCCAACAAACAAATTATAAGGGAGTAATTAAATTTTGTTAGTTTAATAAAAAAATATTTATATAAATTTTTAAATATGGTAGGGGAAGAAATGCGAGACCGGCAGCTCAGTCAAGTTTATTATAAAAAAAATTTGGAATAAACTAAGTATTTTCAACATTAATTTATACTGACCAACTTATGGTAGTCTGCATTTTTTTTCATATTTAAATTAATAAATTATCTATAGATTTTCATATTATTTAGTTAATTTATTTTTAATATTTTAAAATCATTTAATATATATTATTTATTATTTTTAAATTAGTGATGATATTTATTTTTATTATTTTCTTAATTTAATTTAAAATTATACAAATTTGTGATAATTCAGGTAAATGTTAAAAAGTATAGATAAATTGTAAAATATAATATTATACTAATTATTTTTTAAATTATACGAGTTAACCCGCATACTCTGTTTGTACTAAGTGAGATATGCCGTTCATCCTCACTTTATTTTTTAAATATCAAACATGGGAGAGACTGAACCATTCACAATATAAACCCTAAAGTATGGATGGTAAGAAATAAATAATAAACACAGTTGGTGAATATGAAAACTGAATAAATACACTAGATATTTTTATATGTTAGCAAGAGAAAATTATAAAACTGTTGATCTAATAGCTTAAAAATTGGTCCATAATAAGAATTAATGTGCATATTTTTCAAATGAAACAGCTACAAAAAGGAATGTGTCGGATGAAAATATTACTATTAGTTGGAGCCACTGAATATTTTATTTCTTTGCAAATTTTTTAATTTTTATTTGATTAATTTATTCTTATTAATTTCAAAGCCAAACATATCTTAATCTATTTAAAAATTTAATAAATTTATGTAGAACTCATATTTATTATTATTATTATTATTATGAAAATCATATTTTATAAAAATTTAAAAAGATAAATATAATTTTAATGGTATCAATTAGAAGTCTGTATGAATTAAAAGTGAAATTGGATATTTTGAATGTAGTAATCAAATTTCTATTACAAAGTGAAAAAAATCAATTTATACAATGTAGATTGCACTTCAGTTATTTAATTATATATATAGCCTTCAAATTTCTAATCATTTCTTCTCAGATCTAATGCTATATTAATTTGTTAGGATTAAATATATTTTTATCTTCAAAAATTGATTAATTAATAAAAAATAGAAATGTATTCTTTTTATTTTATTATCATAAAAATGTTATTAAATATTAAATTTAAAAATATAGAAAAAATTAAAATCATATTTAATTATTTATAATTCTATTTAATTAAAAAACTATTTATAAATATTAAATTTAAATATATAAAAAAATCATTTTTATAAATTAAATAGTTATTAATATTTTTTAAATATAAAGATCAAAATTAAATTAAAAAAAAACATATTTAACATTTTTTAAGCAGTGATGTGGCGTTGCAAGAATCATTAAATACAATTAATTTAAATGAATTTTTTTCTCCAGAAGATACCTTACATATTTGACTTTTCATAAAAGTAACTGTTTCGAAATTGACAGGGACAAAATTTTACTTGGGATTTTTCCTTAAATAACATTTCATTTGGTATCAAAACTGTGCTAATAGTACTTTACAGAAGAATTTGATAATTACAGTTGCTACATCCCTCGTCTAGTCACAACTCACAATATAACCAAAAGAAAGAAACAAATAGTTTCTTGCATCTATATTTAACAGCTGAAGTCCATGCCCCAGAACGTTGATCTTCTTCTAGGACACATAATTCTCACTGGTAATTGGCAGCAATAAAATCTGCTGTGAAATATCTCTGGTTGCTCTCTGCAAAACTTTTGTAGGGAAAAATTGGCTTCAGAAGAATTTCTCAGCGTATCACACTCATGAATGCTACAAGTTCCCTGTGTGAGCAGCTTCATGTTTAAGCAACAGTGCATATAGAATCTCATTCCAAGTGTCAGGTACACCAGGTAGACACCAATGACTGCAATCCTGGCGACGATGAGGCACCACAGGGCCAACAGTACGACCAAGATAATAGATTGATGAATGTCCATCTTTTCTATGAGCAGTCATCTGAGTTACATTCAACACCATGAACTTCTTAGTTTCAGAAATATTTGTGTGGGCAGATAAGACAGCATTGACTATTTTGAATTGTAACCAATTATCATTAGGCACCAATGAAGAGCCAAGCTCCGGTAGTGTTTCCATATGACAGTTTCCACCGTTTTTCCAATCCCCGCCTCTGAAACATATAACACCAATTTAGTTTCCAAAAGTATGTGTAAGCAGTTTGTGGAATAATTTGTCGTATTGAAAAGGATACTTGATGAACAAAATTATGGTCCTACAGCATTTAATCATTTCAAATATTTTATATTCAAAATATCTAATGTGATGGTGCTTTGTTGTACAATATACTGAAATTAAAAAATGAAAGCCATGATAGAATGCAGGGTACTCATCATTTGAACTGTCAAACATACCTGAAGTGCACTGGGGCTAAAGTCCGAAAGAAAATTTGGGTCTTGCTAGGATTTACTGTATTTTGTATCCAGTTCAGTACTGTCTGAATGGACTGTTTGTATGCATCTTCTACCTGCATTTCCAGCTTAACTTTCTTGCCTTCTTGAAAATAGCAACCCCTGAACCAAACAGAAAATTGTCAACCCTTTTTCTTGGCCAAAAATCACACAGATAAATGTCGTAATGGTTTAAGAGCGATGCAACCAATAGTTTGGAATCATTGCAATTCAGGAAGAAAAGGGAGAGAGCAAAAAACAGAGAAAAAAAAAAGTCCTCTTATAAGAATCAGATTTAAACAACCATTTTTTCAAAAATCAATTAATCATCATCCTAATTTCAGTCCCCATGGTCACCATTCAGAAGTTGTCTAATTACCGTGGAGAGATCATAGGTCCCCATTGGAAAAAGCTGACACCTGATGCAACTCAATTATAAATGCTTGGAATTTTTTTCTATTCATGTTTTCTCATTTTCAAGCTGGAAATGGTTAATCAATAAAAACAGTGGGAAGGATTGAAATACCCTCTTATTGTTTTCTCATAATTCCACCAGTGCCCAGTGTTAAGAACCAGGATATCTGCATCTCTCCACTTCTCAGAGTTCCAATCCATTGTATCTATTTTGAGAGTTGTCCTAATATTTTCAGGAGCTCCTTTAGGAGGTCGACTCTGCAATACAAGAAATGGAGCTCTATAGTATTCCACTGTACAATTAAAATCCTTGAATTTGAAGACCAAGAACCCCTTATGCTTTGTAATTGGGCTTCCATTCACTTCATAGATTGATTCCTTGTTAGGAACTCCGGAAGAGAGCAAGCATAAAAGTGACTCCCATTGGTTTCTCCCAATTGAGTCCCCCGCAAACACTATTCGTTTGTTTCGCAGTTTCCCCAACATCAATGTTGCATTGAATCTGTTTTTATTAGCGAGAAACCAACTGTATAAGTTTACTTCGTCTATTTTTTCATCTAACCAGAGGAGAAAAAAATAATGCAAATCTAGTCAAAATAAATGAATGTACATGGCCACTGATTCTCATGTGATTTTAACACCATGATTCACTAGCACAAACAACCCCAAAAGATTCACCAACAAGGTTGTATAAACAAAATTGTTGACATCAACCAACAATACACACATATATCACAAACTGGCAGCATTAAGAAAAAGAATTTAACGAGGATGGATTGACCGTGTAAAACACATCCAATTGTACTATATGATAAAATTGTTGATATAAAGTTTATGTCATCTAATCATAGATTATTGACTTTTTTAATATAAAGTTTTACAGTGTTTTTACACTTACAATATATAAAAATTAAACTAAAGAAAAATTAAGACAGGATGTATAAAGGGAATGTAAGGAAGATACTTGAAGACTCCAACTAAAGGCCAAGGTTGCAGCTACAGCTACTATAAAAAGAGAAGCGAACAAAACTAACAAAGAAAGGGGGTTGCATAGGAAAAGACAAAGCAACAAAATGTTGAAAAGTAAAAATGATGTGCAAAAGGAAAAAATAAAATAAAAAAGAGAAAATATTACAAAAGGAATCGAACACTTCATCATGCTTATCAATATAGACATCCATGAAATACTCGAGTTACTGCGTTGAAACTGCACACACAAAATGTTGTCATTTTCGCAGAGCTGCATGTCTCAATAGCTGAAAGTGACAAAGGAGGGATAATGAGACAACGGAAAGCCAATGGCAACCAATGTCGGGTAGCTGTCTTTCTCACAAGATGCCGGTTAGATGGTTAAAGACATATTCAAAGTCACACACCACGAGTATCTTTACCTTCTAATCATTCCAATGTTCCAAATACATATCATTTCAATTTACCCGATGGTTTTGTTCCTTAAAGAAATTATTAGACCAGCATTTCAATTTACCTCAGACTATTATTACTGAAGAAAGAGATGAGAAACATAACGAATTTGAGAAGTAATAGAATGAAACCAGTGGAAAAAAACATCAAACACCTACCTTGGCAAGTTGCAACTTTTGGGCTGCCACCTCCATTTGGTGTAATACAAATCACGTCTTCCATTCTCAGAACATCGAAAACCTTCGTCCAGAAAGCTGCAATCTTTTGATTGATACAACGGGTAGCTCTCATCCCAAACCCATTCCCCATCGAACAAATCACACCCACCACCCTTATCTCCAAGAAACTCAACTCTGCGTTGCTCAGTAGACCCTTTTATCCGCAACCAAGCAAACCTCTGAGGTTGTTCCAAGAACCCAAATCTTAAACCAGAGTATCTATTATCCGAATAGAAGAAGCAACAAATCACAAAGACAGTAACAACAACAAAAACAAGAACACCCAAAGACGGCTCGAACAACCTTAAGCGCTTAGCCCTCCTAATAGCTTCAAAAACTGGCATGGCTTCAGCTTCATCCAATGATGAGTTCTTAGGAGAAGGCATTTAAACAATGAAATAAAAATCAAAATTCAGAATGTAGGAACGGCTTTAAAAGTTGCAGTGGACACTTATAGCGAGACCAAACAGAGAGAAAAACGGAAAGTTAAAAGCGCAGGGCAGAATGAGAAGGGTGACATGCAAGCAAGATGGCATTCATGGCACGCATTAAACAGAAGAATCATGTTTCGATAACTTGGCTTGGTAGGTCAGTTTGGTAAATAGCATCAATGAGGAACAGCCAAAAGAAAAGGATGGGTGTGGAGGAAGCAAAGAAGCATTCATTAATTTACTCATTGAGTTGAGTTTCAATCATTTTTGTATAATCTGCGATTTGGTGACGTATTGATTAACACAATCAGGGTCAGAGCAAGAAAAACTTTGCTTCCAAAATCTCAAGAGTGCTTTTTATGTAGAATTTAATTTGGGTGAACCGACTAACCCATCGTAGAAATTAATTCAAAGAAAATGGAGTAACGGTAGAGAGGACACGGTCCCATGTTGTTTTGAACTTTGGAAAGAGATAAGAAAATGGCCTCATATTGGACCGTGAACACACGCGCGCAGATATTTACAACGTTGATTTATTTTAACCCTAGGATTTAGTTCAAAATCCATGCCATCTACACTATCCTAGTTAAATTAATGGAGTTTCCATTCCAAAAAAAAAACAACGCACCATTCAGTATATACAGTAGTTACTGTAAGCGGGACGTTAACAATGTGTGCTAAAAATCGTTCTTAGAAACTGAGGCAGTTAACTGTATATATATATAAACTATTATTTAAATAATAAATTTTGATCGTATCAAGTAATAGTTTTTGGAAATATAATAGCATAATAAAATTACTTACAGTGATTATTATCAAATTAAAATATAACTTATTAAATTCTGTCATACTAAAACCTACTAATTTATATTTCCTTTAATTTTTTAACTCACGTTGCTCACATTCACAACAATCCGAAAAAATAATGGCAACCTTCTTCACACAACACATCTTGCTATAAAAACTCACAACTCTCTTTGTGAAAAATAAAAACCCACATTTTTTCTTGATAAAAAAAATTGGTACCGGAGCATGGTGCAAAGACCTTGTTGCAGCATTCTACATAGGTTCTTTGGAACTAGTATCCAGAGACAGGTAAAAATAAAATACCAAAAGGAAAAATGCAATTAAGATTAGCAACCGGAGGTGTATTTAGAAATTATCTTGGCCCAATACTAATTTAGTTGGCCCAATTAATTACTAATATGAATAATTAGCTGAGCTGAGTCATTGTAACAAAACCATAGCTATCGAAAGCTCTCTGGAACAGTTGGAGTTACAGGTATTGCCAAGTCTGTGAATCATGGTGTCTTCTTGTATCCCCTTTTTATTTCTTATCTGCGTCAATTTCAAAAATTTGTATCTCGCTTAAATCAAACTATGTGTTTCTCAAACACTGCAGGTAAGAAATTGAATTCAATTTGTTACTTGAAGAAATTATTAGTGTCAGCATGCTTACAATTACTCGCTTCTGTGTTGTTAAGAAGAAATTCACTTCGCAATTTAGTTCTTATGAGATGGGCATTTTCAAAACTCATCTGTGGTTATGACAACTGTTAACTCTTCCGAATTTCTAAGAGATATTAGTGCCTGTGTTGTGTCAGTAGGGATTGTTGTTAGCTCATGTTAATGAAAGATGGCATGAATTCCCGGTTATTGTTGGACTGTGCAAAAAGTTGCATATTGGCTTCTTCTCCTGTTTTCAGAAGGCAACAATTCTTGATACGGTGTGTGGGAGGCTCCATTGATCATCAACCCCATTCTAGAAATATGCAAGCCCTAAGGTCTATTGAGGTTGACTCTGAGAGTCTTATTCGAGCAATTACTCCTGCCCTTGATCCTACCAGACATAAAGGCCAGGCAGGTATGGAAGTTACTGAAATATATCAATTTACGGACTAAATTGATGGATATTCAATACTTGGAGGATTACTTATGTATAGTTTTACTTCAAAAACTACTTAAGAGTGATAGTAATAATTGGGAGACCAAGTGCATGTTTGGATAAAAGTTTGGACTTAAGTTAGGATTATACTTGACCAAGATTAAGTTTGCAAACTGAATTTGCGAAGGCATCCTAAGTTTTGCTTCTGAAAAATTGAGTTTTCAGACAAAATTTTAATGCGCGGACCTAGTTTTGAGGATAACCAAACATGCCATGAAACCGGGCTTATTTTTCAAAATGAGTTTGGAGCACCCAAATCAAGAAACTAAACACAGCCCAAATTGGTGGTTCATTCACTTAATAAAAAGTAATCCGGGACTAACCTATATTTTATTTTGTGGCTGAAGAAAAAGAAGACATGTCTAATGTTTTCTTCGTTTATGTTTCAAACCAGGAAATATAGCTGTTATTGGAGGCTGTCGTGAATACACAGGAGCTCCATATTTTGCTGCAATTTCGGCCTTAAAAATTGTTAGTATATGCACTCTTTTCATATTTAGCCTTCTGCCCTTTAACTGAATTCTTGACCTGAAAAAAAAAAAAAAAATTGTTTCTGTCAATTCAAATTATCCTGTCATTTTCTCATCCATGCAGGGTGCAGATCTGTCCCATGTTTTTTGTACAAAAGATGCTGCTCCTGTCATCAAAAGCTACAGTCCTGAGTTGATTGTGCACCCTATTTTGGAAGAATCTTATAGTGTCGGGTACAACATCCAGTCTTCTAGTTAAACTTATATTGTGCACCCTGTATGAACATTTCGAAACCAAGTGGGTGTTGTTTTTAGTGAGAGAATAATTTCAGGGACGAAAACAAGAGATCCGTATCAAGCAAGGTTCTTGCTGAAGTTGATAAGTGGATGGAAAGATTTGACTGTCTTGTTATTGGCCCAGGCCTTGGAAGAGACCCATTTCTTCTAGTATGCTTTCTCTTGAATGCTTCACTGTGTACCAGTTTTGTTACACTTAGTAATCTTATTATTTTGTACTGAAGTTTTTCTCCTTAACTTGTACTGCAGACAAAATATTTTTCTTATTTCAGTTTTATGATATTGTTTTATATGCTTTTGTGACTTTCTTTCTGCCACTGTCCACCATCTTTAAGTCAACATTTGCTCAATATTGTCAGGATTGTGTAAGTGAAATCATGAGACATGCAAGACAGTCAAATATCCCAATAGTTATAGATGGGGTATGTATATTGAGTTTTAGACATCTGGCACAATGTTTGGTTAACATGTGAATCCTTTCATTGTTTTCACTCTTTATGTTTTAGCATTCTGATTAAGGGGCGTTGTTCAGGATGGACTTTTTCTTGTTACAAATAATCTTGACCTTGTTAGTGGCTACCCCTTAGCTGTTCTAACACCAAATGTCAATGAATATAAGCGTCTTGTACAGAAAGTACTGAGTTCTGAAGTAGATAACGTAGATGCTCCTCAAGAACTGCTATCTCTTGCCAAGCAGTAAGTTCCTCGATTCAACATGCTAGATTTTTATGTCAATGCTGTCAGGCAATTGATCTTTGTCTATTATTATGTTTATGAAACATGTATCTTGACAACGAGTTTGAGTTGTGCAAATTTTGTGATTCACACATGCACTCAGACTAATAGAGTAGTAAAAAAGCATCTGTTGTTTGTCTTCATCCTGTGTTTTGAAATTTACTTGCTCAACTCTTGAGTGCTGTGTAATATGTAAAAGCAGGTTATAATCCTTCTGATTTCATTTTATTTTTTTTGCTGAAAGAAAATTAGTATCTGTTAACAATAAAGGGAGGTAGATAATGTCATAATGTTAAGTAGTCTGCTTTGATCCCCGATGTGTAGTTATTTCTCATTATTATCTATGATGTGATTCAATGCTCCATTTTAATGAAAATTATGAACTGTTCATGAGCAGGATTGGTGGTGTTACTATCCTAAGGAAAGGAAATTCTGATCTTATAAGTGATGGTGACACAGGTAGGCCTTTCACAAATACAAAATACAAGTTGTTTTTGGGGAGGGGGGTTGTCAAAGATTTACTTAGTTTCTAACATTACTCTGCAATTGCAATAAAGAACTTTCATTTAAATTGGTCTGTTTTGGTGCATATGTTGGGTGTCTCCTATGGCTTAATTGATTAGGCCTGTTTTGGAAGAGACAGAAATGTTCTACCAAACATGACCAAAAAATCTGGTGATAGTACAATAGACTACTACGGTATATAAATTATATCAGCATAAAGAATAGAGATTTGCGAATATTAGTAAATCGTTTGATTGTGGTCCTATTTTCACGTATGCAGTCAAATCAGTGAGCATCTATGGTTCTCCAAGACGTTGTGGTGGCCAAGGTGATATCCTTTCTGGAAGGCAAGTCCTCTTTTTTTGTGTGTATGTTTCAAAATTCTCTGCTGGCAAATTTTATGCTATATGTTTAGATGGTTCCTCTCTTTGTGTGATGGAATTTTCTTTATTTTCAATCATTGATTTTTTCTATTGTGAAATTCGCCGATGTACTTTCAAGTATAATATTGCTTTTCTCTTTAAATGAATAAATTATATCTAATACTTAAAAATACTTTAGGAAGGAGATTATTTCGTTAAAGCTGTTAAGGCATACTGCAGTTTTAAACTATCCTATCCTTATCTCTGAGAATTGGAGTGAAGCGACTCAACTACCGATTGGCAGAGAGTATATGATTACTTGTGCTGTTGGCTAATTTTCTTATTGATGGGAAGAAAAGAGAATGACATTATTATCATTATTTGAGTTTTTCAAAATTAAGATGGAATGAAATAAAACATGTTAGAATCTATTCCATCCCACGTTTATGTCCTCCCAAATGTTTTTGGGGGAATATTGAACCCACTTACACTCCTTGTTGGATATCTACTCCATTATATATACCTTTTTTTAGCTCCATTGACCATTAATTGTGCAATTGGAACTTGCAGTTTTTTTATGCTTATCCTAATTGGTGCAGTGTAGCTGTCTTCTTGTCATGGGCACGTCAACATATATTGACTGCTGATTCAAACTCGAATCTCAGTTGCAAAAATCCAACAGTTTTGGGATGCATTGCTGGGTCTGCTATATTGAGGAAGGCTGCATCACTTGCTTTCCTGAATAAGAATAGATCCACAGTCACTGGTGACATCATTGAATGCTTGGGAAAAAGGTAGCGTATTATAGAATGAAATTTTTTGTTTGATTGTGACCAAGTTATTTTTAAGCTTTTACATTTTTTGTTGCAGTTTGGAAGGCATTTCTCCTGCCAGTTAATTCCATGTGTGTCTTTGTGGCCTACAATAGTCTTTGTTGAGTATCCTGCAATAATATTTTCCTTCTTTGTTGAGTTTTCTCCTTTCTTATCTTTACTTCTCCCCGTTTGGTCTTGTGCCCTGATAGACGAATGTGTGGAACAGAGTTTTGTTAAAATTTAACGTTAAAGTTGCACAATGCATTTATTTAGAGTTTTACTTGTATTACGTTTTCTGAGCTGTCAAACATCTGTTTGCACATCCCATGACACCAAACAGAAAAGCATCAGCATTTTCATGCATATTGATTAAGTTTGCAAAAACAAACCCAAACTTAGTTTCTAGACAAAATTTTAATGTGTAAATGAATTTTTGAGGATAACTAAACATGTAATAAATTGAAGTTACTCTTTGAATTGAGTTTGGTACTTCTCAAACTGTAAATCAAACATTAAACGTTTATTCGATTGAAAAAAAAAATGTGGATTAATTATAAGTTGGTCTATCTCCTAAACACACCCATATCAGTACAAATAGTTATTTCTTCCTACTTCTTCGTCTGTCCTCTCTAAAGTTTTTTTTTCTATTAATCCGAGTTATCGAAATAATTTATTTAATAAAATTTGTCATTAAAGGTCAGAACTAATTAACTAAAAAATAAAGCAAATGCATGATTTGCTTTTGATGATTTAAGGCCATAAAAAAAATGTTTTAAGGGCTTATAAAGCTACAATGTGATATTCTTCTTGCAGAAATTATGTTTGGAGAGGTATTTTCTAGGATGTTTTACCATTGACTCAGGTTAAATTTAGATACATTGACATAAATACCATTAGTGTTTTTTTTTTAATAAAAATGTAGTTTTTAAAAAACTTAACTCATTTTAATGACTTTATCTTAAATATTTTCTATTATTATAAATAAAAAGTTTCAAATGATAACTTAAATTTTGAAGTTATATAAAATATGAAGTCTATTATTCATATACGTACATAAATATGAAAAATTAATATGATAATATACTTAACGAAAATTTATTTGGAAAGGTAATTTAGATATTCTATAAATTAGGATAACAAACAATTTTACTTGTTTGGCAAAAAAAAAAATCAAATTAAAATTTCCAAATCTGTCGCATCCACCATCATAATAATGACATTGTTCTCATGTAAGTGGAATAAGATGTGAATTGATGAAATCTTAAAGTTTTTTTCTTTTATAATTTGTTTAACTTTATTTTTTTAGAAATATGAATATATTTTTAGTGATGCTTTACCATGCAGTTTTTTTAATACTTTTGGATAAATGAGTTTATATTTTTTTAAATATATTTAAATAATTTTATTTTAATTTTTAAAACGTAAAGTAGGTATGAGTGTCCACATACTTATGAATATAAAACAATTCATAAATATTATTTAAATGAGTATCCAAGGGATAACTAGACAAGTAACCATATTTTTCTACTTGAGTCATATTCATGTTTACTAAGATATATTTCTATTAGTAATTTTTTTATTTGAAATAAAAAAAGAATAAGTAAAGAAAAATAGAAATTAATTAAGTGTATTTTATATGGTAGAAATAGGAGAGAAATTAAAAAAAGTGAGGCACACTTTTTTTATTTCACTTTCAAATGGGAGGAATGGAGTAATAATTAATTCATTTTTAACATCTAGTAGTTATATCATAAAATCTTCTTTCTTTTCTCGCTCTTTTTCGACTTCTTTCTTATTTTTTCATACATTACGTTGTATAGTCATATTTGTGTGTCAGTCTGACCAAATATAGAATGTGGAACTTCAGTATCACGTTATGTTGCATTCTCACCTGCGGACAAGACGAATCTCTTAACATGCAAAAGAATAGCAAAAGTGAAGAATAATCTAATCCAATTTGAGGCAATGTGTATGTTTCTCTCTATGCTATCGAATTTTTTATTTTTATTTTTATTTTTTTTCAGTCTAATTTTATTAAAATTTGAATATAGAATGAGGGTTGGGAATTCAACAGCAGACTTTTTATTTGATTGAGAAGAGCAACTTTACATTGATAGAAAGTGTAAATTGTCTATCTAATGAACCACGTTACACCTTCCTAAGCTCCATTCCAGAGGTCATTTCTCATGCTAGCCATTTAAATTACATTCTCATGCCTCATTCATGTCTTGCTCTCTCCAAGGGAAGCTCTATTATTGTCTGGCTGCAACAACTGCTGGCCCTTCCACCTGATATGCATATCATCCCACCAGTTTCACAATTAGTGAAAATAATTGGATCTCAAGTTCATCAATGGAGAGCAAAAGACACTAAATTATGCATTCGGACCAGATAGCATCCTCTGTTACACTTTTTTTCTTTATTTATATTAATGATCTGAAGAAGAATGGAGTACTGAAATGGCAAGTGTACTTCAATATATTTGTTTCATTTTGTTACCTTGAAGGTTGCACCCCAGATTTCTTCCTCGTTAGCAGGAACTGCAGTAATCTTATTTTTAGGATTCTCATAGCACTTCAACCCTCCAACAGCTGTAGAGTAGAAACATCCTGTCCAATTAGAGAGCAAGAGTGTCAGCAATGAGGGCAATCCTTTATCAGGGGAAAAATGAAACAGAACCGAGACAATGTCAATGTAAAAAATCTTGTTCTACTCTCCATATCCCATAACCAGCACCACATATGATATGATCCATTTTACCCCTCTTTTATTCGTAACCTTGTCATATTTTAAGAACTTGTACGGATGGGAATTGTAACAGAAGCACATGGTAGAAGTTAACTCACCCTGAGGGAAAGAAGCAAGTGACTTGCCACAAGCACCTTTAAGCAATTCTGCATCATCAGCAAATGCTACATAGCCATCAGCAGTAATTCCCCAGTATAGAGGTACCTTACCATATTGATCCTGTGAAAAATAATAAAAGTAAAATGAGAAAGAAATGAAAGTTTATAGTAGTGGATCATGAGAATTGGTGAGTGGGAATATGATTACTTACAGAGGCCACAAAGAGGGTAGAAGTGGATTTGTCAAAAACTATGAAAGCAAAGTTCCCACTGAGATGGCCAACAACATGATTAGCAGGGTAGGGTGCTCTGTCACGCAAAGCTTTGTAAGCTTCAATCACCAACAATACTTCATTGGCTGCCTTGGCCAGTCCATATTGTTGTCTCAAGTGCCCTAAATTCTCAAGGACTCCCTCAAACAAGCAGAAGACCTCATCCTTCACAGCAAAAGATCTGTATTTTCCACTCAATATTTAGATTAAAAGATCTGCATATTTTACTATTTTAATGCATTCATTGTTATTAATATATAAGAAAAAAAACCCTTTAAATGCTTCATGGATAGAATATCTAATAAACACATGAAATTGATTCCCATATTAAACTTTTATGGTTCTTATAAACCAAATATATCTTCATTGGGAATCATTGGGCCGTTGAGTTGCCAGATGTCAAAAGCGAACATGTAAAATAATCAGATCCATTAACCAAAAATTCTTAAACTAGACTTTCATGGTCACTGTCACACAATAAATTGCTACAGAGAGGCTTATTGACCCAATCAAAAGACTCATTCAATGCATGATCAGAAATGTTTAAAAAAAAATTGAATTAATATCATTCATTACAAAAAAAAAATTGAAATAATGTTGGAAACATTAATTACAAATAATATCATTTAAAATTATTAATTTCCGTACTTATTTAATTCTCAAAACAAAAAGAGTTTTTTTTTTTAAATAAAATAAACCTGACATCGTTACAGTCCTGGGTCCTGAGCCCTTGGTACAGTTAGGAAATAAAAAATATTCTTTTCCGCTAAAGAATACTCCTCAAATATAACGTCGCCACAACCAGCCACTGAAACCACAGTTATTCTCTCTCACTCACTCACCCGTGTGAGTGAGTCATGACATGATGATCAGATTGGAGCACCATCAACCGTCCGATCCGATTGCTTGATTTCCCCTCCAAAACCATCTCATGGTCACGGTAATTCAATTTTCCCCTCATTCCCCGTATCACAATTATTCCGATTTGTTTTTTCTAAAAGTTTATGATTAATATTTTTGAAGTTTAGTGATCAACGAAAATGTTTGTTTATTTTACCTGGGTTGCCACTGCGACTCGTTGTGATGGGTATAAGCCAGGTTGACATGCTCTCCGATCTCCACCGATACTGCGGAGGCGTTCTTCTCCTCGAACCGCTTCCGCAGCGCCGCCGCCGTCATCTTCGGCGAAGGAGTTTTGCTTCCGGCGGCCACGAGCTCGTCTGGCGGCGACACGATGGAGCTACTGAACACACCCAACATTTTTCCCCCTAGATTGTTTATTTCCCCTTTCTACGCAGTCACTAAAATCTTCTCAGGAATGGGATATAGGAAGAAGAAGCATGCTTCCATTGGTTTTATAGCGGGAGGGGACGAGGGTAGTTTAGTCATTGCAGTTTCAATAAATAGCAATTTATGAGTATCTATTAATGATAATAATTGTAGAATTTAGACCGGTGACACGTGGGTTCCACATCAGGCGACGTTTTTTTTGTTAATTTTGAATCGGACAACATTCGTGGACCTACCACCTTAATTGTTTAATCATTAATAACTATATATGCGCCTTTTATCCTACGACTCCTATTGCAGCCACGCCCTCATCTACGACAAATTTTCACCATCTACTATTTCTTACTGTCATTTGAAGTTAACATATATTTATTTCTCATTTTAATTTATTTTTATAAAATATAATACGCCTAAATGCGAAATTTAACTTTTTTATGTTTATTGAAAATTTTAATTAAAATTTTAGTTTTTTAAGTAATTTTTTCATCGTATAAATCTTATTAAGTTGTTTAAAAAATCTTACTAGTTGCTTACCAAAAGTAATAAAAAAAATAAGTAAAGAAAAAAAAAGGAAGAGAATGAGTTATTAAATTTAAAAAGTAAATTATTAGAATAAAATTAATAATAAATTATTTAAATATGACATCACATAAAAAATTATATTTATATTTTTTAAAATAAAAAATAACTCATAAATATTTAGTTTTTAAGTAACTCATTAAGTTCTGTAAATGTTTGTATTATTAACTAAACAAAATTTAATTATTTTTTAAAATAATTATATTGTGGGTTATCTTTGACGCAGTAATCGTGCGGCGATAAAAAAAAATTATATTTAATTATCTATTTTAAAATCATTTTCTTAATACATTCAAATTAATTGGCACATGTCATTTTTTTCCACATTTTGTTCAATTAGAGAAAGGTTTTATTAATACTCTGAATGGCCTCGTATAATAAGGATCAAACTGTCCCACGACATTTTAATCTAATTCACCATGGTTTTAATGAGAAGAAATAGTCCATGAAAGATGTGATAAATACAATAATATTTAAGTAAAATGTGATTTATTAACTCAAATTGAGATATTTAATTTACTAAAAGGAATATTTTTTAACATAAAAAAATAAAATAGAAATTAAACATTTCTTTAATCTCAATCATTCAAATACTTTGTTTTAAGACAATGCTATTAAATTTCTCCATTTCATTTTTATAAGACTATTTTTTAAGTGTTTATTACATAAATTAGTTTATCAAAATATATTTTGTTATTTTAGTTCATAAATAAAAAATGTTATGAATTGTTAATTGTTTTTCTCCTATAAACATTTGGAGAAATTTAAGAGGTAAATTAAAAAAATAAAATAAATTTAATGAATACTTCAGTACCATTATCCTCTCTCCATATACATTTAATTACCTAAGCGTGGTTCTAAAATATATAACTACAAATTTAGTTAATGTTATTACCTAAATTAATCATTTTTCTTGATAAGTACACATGAATGATCCCGGACTGATTATTTAAATTGGGAGGGAGCATGATATAACTGTCTCTAATTGTAATTTTTTTCTTTCGCATTAAACAATTATTTTTCAAACAATTTGCTATTTCTCATTGTATATGTAAACTAGACTTAAACCTTAAGAAATAACTACCAATTGAAGGGTTGAGATTAAAATAAATAGTTGATATTTTATTAATTATTTAATCCCAACTTAATACAATAGATTTTTTATAGAAGGGTAAATTTTAGAAAATAATTGAGATTATTTGACACAAAGTTAAAAAGTATTTCATGAATAAAAAAGAGAGAAAACTAGGTGTATTTTAAGGATTACTAGAGACAAAATTAAATATCACGACAATTTAAAAAAAACACTTAAGTATTAATTGGGATAAAAATCAGAAAACTTCATTTTTGCAAGTTACAATAAAGACAAATTCCTTCTTAAAAAAAAATGCATAAGTTGTAGGATTACGACCTCTAAACATATGATAGCTTGTTAAAAATATCAATCTACGATAATTATAAAGGAACGTTGGGTGGGATAGTTGATAAACTTCTTATTAAAAAAATAGATACAAACTTCAATTTTCAAACAATTGTCGATTGACAATTCTAATTTTACAGCTAATTTGTTCAATTTTCAAATTGTATTAATTAAAACAAATTGAAATTTGCATGGATAATCATTAAACAATATTTCATAAATAATATACTATTTAATTAAAAAATTTAAACTAATATGCTTTTTATATTTGATAAAAGTGGATGCCATACATGCGTCTAAGATACTATTTGTAATCTCTCATGAATCATATAGAATAAAATATATAAAAGTAAATTTTGGTGTTAAGTAAAAATCCAAGGTCAACTTTTTTTATTGTGGGCACTGTATCCTTTTTCATTGCAAAATGTTATTAAACTCAAATTGAACAGATACCAAATTCATTTACGTAAGAAAAGAGAAGAGTGTTGAATATTATTATCGATGAAAACCATGGGTGAAGCTATGTGTTTCTATGGACCGTGAGAACAAGTTGAAACTAAATTAAGAAGCTGCTTGAGCTTGTTGATTCTTAGGCATCTACACAACTCTTGTGTTTGTACCAGATTATATTCTAAATAATCTAATCAAATCATATTTTAACACATATATAATAGAATAATCTCTTTCCTTGTTTACATTATATAAATAACGTGTTCTATACATTTGTGTTCTTGTTATTTTGTTTTATCTCGTTTAAGAATGAAAATAAAAATTAGACGGTTGTCAATGAAACTATAAATAATCTGTTTTTTTCGGTTGCGAAACATTTCATCGACTTTACTATATAGTTAGATGCTTGATAGATTAAAGAAAATGTATATATAATTTATTTATTATTATTATTGGACTTCACTTTTAAAATATAATATTAAAATAACTTACTTTAACAATATTAATTTATATTTTTTTAAATGAGATGAAAATAAACAAATAAAAACAGACTTTATAAGAATTTTATTATTTTCGTATTATTTAATTATACTAAATAAAAGAAGGAAACATATTTTTCGTTCTTTCCTTTTTCTTATTTTCCTTTCGGTCTCTTTAAAACGAAATTAAAAGAATTGATTTATTAAACTTTTTTTTTTACACTGACTTGTTAAAGATTTAAAATAATATCGTATTGTTCTTTTTAATAAAAACTATCATTGAATTAGTTTTTTAATAATTCAAAATGTTATTAAATTAGCTATACAATACCATGTTTTTTGTCATCAATGTTGAAGTCTCAAATTTGAACTTTTACATTCAAAATCAATTGTATGAAGAGGTGACTTAGTTGTTTATTTGGGAGGAAATATTTATAAGGGCTTTTAAATGAGACGTAAAAATCTTAAGAAGTGGTTTTCCATCTTTTGAATTGGTTTACCTGGGAAGAGTGTGTTGTGTGTGGTGGACGCATCAATGGAGGATGAAGAAGATGCATCGTGAACAACGTAGTTGAGTGTGGTGTTGAATTGAAACAAAGTAGAAGATAAATTGGAATAAATAAAAAGTAAGAAAGTGACGTGGAGTTTTTTTGGGATAAACACACCTCCTTTTTCAATTCTTTAATCTTCTCACAATTCTACTTCACTTCCTCCCCAAGCCCACGCCCACGGTTTTCTCACATGGCCCACGGATTTCAACAGCGTATTTTTTTATTATTTTTTTCATAAATTCTCTAGCATGTGGTATGTTCATAAGAGAATAAATTATACATTATTCTTTAATTACTTTTTAAGTTTTATGATATAAATTTTTTATATTTTTTTTCAATTTTATTTTTTTAAATTTGTTCTTTTTAATGTAACCATGATCATATCACATTTTACTTCACTTAATTTATCAATATATATTAATAACACCATTAAATATATTAATGTTATAAACAAATAAAATAAAAATCATATATTTGTAAGAATTAAAATAAAATAATATCTTATTTACAAAAAATTATAATAAATATAATTTTTATTTTATTTTCAACCGTAAGTATGTGTTGTTTCGCTGAGCTATTACATATTAAAAGTATTTTCTATTATTAGTTTATTTTTCCGTGGTAAATAATTAAGTTTGACTCATTTAATCATTTCAAAGAATATTAGACCGAGTATAATTATATTTAAGATGTCTAATAATTATTAAAATCATTTTAGCGTAACATTTAATTTATATATATATATATATATATATATATATATATATATATATCAGTTTTTTTCCCTTATTTATAATTACTTTTTTTTTACAGTCTTTGATTTCTTTTTTTAAGTTCCTAAATGTTTTATTCTAATTTAAGTCTTGAAAAATATACTCTTATTCTAATTTCTGTAAATAAGATATTTTTTATTAAATTCTTTATGAATATATATCAGTGGAGACGTCATATGGTAATATATTAATGATAAACTGATAGTTTTGTGACGTTTTATGAGGTCAAATTATCATCACATTATCGTCATTTGAATTAACAATGGGAACTAAATTAATAAAATAAAAATGAATTTAGTGACTAAAACCAACGAAGATAGAAGATAAAAAGTTAATTAGGCATCAAAATTAGTAGATATAATGGGCGGAATCTAATATGTTTAATTAAGAAATACAATTTTTTTTGTTTTTTTCAGAAGAAAATTCTATATATTCTGTAATAAATAAGTCTTTTTTTTAGATTTTTTATTTTATAAACACTTTTTTCAAATTTTAACAAACTCATATTTGATGTTTGTGATAGACGCAAACTTATTCGGACATTTAAATTTGTTTCTTTTACATTTTTTTATTATATTATTAATTTAATTATATTTGAATAAATTATTATTTTTTATTAAATTTTGACAAAAAAAATAAGACATAAGATAAATAAATAAATATATATATATATATATATTTATTTATTTTTTGAACAAGTAATAATTATTAAAATTGA